AAAACCAGTCCAGCTCGTCCCTGCCTCCCTAACCTGTTCTTCCTCCCACCTATCCCCTCCTCCCACCCCTACTGACCAACCTCATCCCGCCCCCTTGACCTGTCCGTCCTCCCTGGACTGACCTATCCCCTTCCTAACTCCTTACCTACATTCACCTTTACTGGCTCCATCCCCGCCTCTTCGACCTGTTTGTTTCCTCTCCACCTATCCTCTCCTCTATCCCTCTTCTATCCGCCTCCCACTCTCTCCCTATTTATTTCGGAACCCCCTTTTCTGATGAAGGGTCTAGGCCCGAAACGTCAGCCTCTCTGCTCCAGTGATGCTGCTTGGCCTGCTGTGTTCATCCAGCCCTGCACCTTGTTCCCAGTTTAATACCTGGGTCTCTGGATTAATAGTCAGCAATAATATCACTAGGACATCACCTACCCCTTGAGAAGAAATGACCCAAGTTCATTTAGGGTTATGGTATTGGTTTACTGTTACTGAATCCAATTAAACCAATCACATCCCAATACAATGGATAACCATAGTTAACAATGTAGGTGAGTGTAGGGTTTCAACTGTATCAACACCATCTGTTTCTGCAGATATTTTACATTGTCCATATGTCCAGCAATCCAGCCAACTTCAGCACAAATTCACATTGCTGAATTTTTCTGAACAAGATGGAATACAAGTTCATGGTTGCAGTACAGTGCAGTGTGATCCTCTCAGAGTTAACCTTACTTTCAGAAACAGAAATCTTAGCTATCAGAAGTATTTTTTATTCTTACATGGGATGTGAGCATTAGAGGATGCCAACATTTATTGACTAACTGTGAGGTGGTGATGATGAATGCTGCAGTCTATCTGGTGTAGATACACCCACAGTGCTATTAAGGAGGAGGTCACAGATTTTAATTCAGCAACTGTGAAGGAACAGTGATATAGCTCCAAATTAATGGAGATATTGCATGACCTGTAGAGAACTTGCAGGTGGTGGTGTACCCATGCATCAGATGCCCATCACAAAGAACATTTTTGTTCTACATTGAGATTCCAGAAAACCTGTTAATATGGAACTGAGAACAACGCAATCTACACTGGGGAACACCATGATCTCAGCCATAACATTGCGAACACTGTTGACTCCTGTTCTATGTGCAAGTGAACAAAAAGCAAGTTACCTAATGTTCTAATTCTTTGTTACAGCGATAACTTCAGGGGATCTCGAGTTCTGGCAAATGAGCAACTGACTATGGCTGCCAGACTCTGAGAGGTTCTAAGGAATATTCCAAAATTGTTGATGGCTTCAAAATAACAAAACAATTAAATCACTATTCCTTAAAATTCCTCTTCAGTTACATCTCCAAGCTCACTGCAACATAGTGACAGAAAGTGCAGTAACTCAATACTGAAAGCAATTCATAAAGAATACTTGCCCAATCTACAAGTGAGAGATCACCAACATTACAGATGTCAGTCTAAAGCCAATTTAATTCACTCAAGGTGATATCAGGAAAAATTTGATGGCACTCAACACTGAAAAGGCTCTGGGCCCTGAGAACATTCCAGCAATAGTACTGAAGATAGAAAACAGAAATTGCTAGAGGAACTCAGTTGGTCTGGCAGCAACTGTGGAAAGAAAGCATAGTTAACAATTCAAGTACCGGTAGTGAATATAATGAGGTCAGCCAAGTGGACCTCATAGAATATGATGGGGGCTGTTAATCTGCTGCAACCAGGAAGCCCTGGCTGACAGATAAAAATAGGAATGTCAGACATCCTGACACTCTGGGAGTTGACTCTGACAAGGCTGTACCAGAATCAAGGACTTTCCACGTGGAAATACAGGGTGACTCAGTGAAAGGATCCCAGCCTCTGTGCAGTTATTTCAGTACCTTTCTTCAGAACTGGTAGTAGCTAGCATAAACTGGTATTAAAGCTAATGACAGGGGATGGCAGGGAGAAGGAGTAAGTGTATAGATGGAAACAGAGCCCAGAGACAACGAAAGGAAGGCAAAGGTATGGGCTGATAGTAAGCCAGGGAAGGAGACAAGCTGATAATGGAGACAATGAATAGGTGAAAATGGCTTGGCTGTGAAAGGTGCTCATGTCATGGCAGGGCCTGGGGTGTAGGGGCGGGTAAAGGACATGGAAGGAAATGTTCAGGGATTAATATTATTAAACTTGGTACTGAATCCCGAAGGCTGCAGGATCTCCAAACGAAAGATGAAATGTTGCACTTCCGGCTTATGCTGAGTCTTGTTAAAGCACTGTGGCAAGCCCGAGACAGAAATGTTGGTACGGGAACACAATAGTGTGTTGAAGTAGCAGGCAACTGGAAGGTCGGGGTTACTTTTGCAGACAGAACATAGGCGTTCTGCGAAGCAATTAACCAGTCTGCGTTTCTTCTTCCCACTGTGGATGAGACCACATTGTGAGCAGCGAAAACAGTAGGCTAGGTTGAGTGAGGTGTAGGTAATTCATTGCTTCACCTGGAAGCATGTCTGGGGCCTTGGATAGTGAGAAGGTAAACGGAAAAACGTTGCACCTTATGCGACTGCATGGTAAGGTGATGTGGGGAAGCGTTGGAATGGAGGAGGAATGGATCAGGATGTCCTGGAGAGAACGGACCCTGCGAAATGCTGTCAAGGGAGATGAGTGAATTGTGGATCTGGTGGTGGCATCCCAGTGGAGGTGGTGGAGATGGTGGCTTATGATCCTTTGGATCCCGATGCTGGTGGGGTGGAAAGTGAGGACCAGGGGACCCTACTGGTGTTGTGGGAGGATACAGAAGTGCAGGAAATGGGGCTGGACACAGCTAAGGGTCTTGTCAACAACTTACTCAACAATAACCTCTCAAGATCATGTGGCTCCATATCTCTTTACAGCCCATAGCAACTTGCCAAACCAACTTCAACATATTATTCTAAATTTACAACGTTTATCACTTAGAATAACAAGGGTGGGTGGCATATATATAAGGACACCACTATTGTCAAGTTCCTCTCCAAGTCACACACTATCTGAACTTGGAATTATATTACTGTTCTTTCACTGTCGCCAAGTCAAAACCTCAACACCCACAGTGCTGTCAATGGAGAGTTTATCTCCTACAGAGGTTTAAGAGGGCAGCTAAAGAATATCTTCTCAAGATCAATGGCAGACAAGCCTTGTTAACGACACCCAAACCCATGACTGAATTTATTTTAAAAAACTCATTAAAAACACACCACACCAAAATAAGCTCATTCTGTGAAAAAGATTGCAAGAGACTAGGAAACAGCATCCTTTTCTTGAGGCCGGGGAGCTTCATACCTGATAGCGACAGGGACTGAAAATATGAACATGAACTCCAACTGCAATAAACCTGACTTCCATCAAAAAAGAATACAAAAAATACACTGAAGCATCAACAATTAAATTCAATTTGTATGGAGCATAAAAACACAAAGAGTGATATTGAAAAATGTTAGCTTTGCATGTCTAGCCAGGAAAGAAACAATTTACGTAACTGTCACCAAATCATGTACGTACAATGTTGAAGACTCAGTAAACAGCACATATGTAGATTGGTAAGGATTCACAATACAGCACGTGTCCACAGTAGTGATTCACTATATAGCACGTACCTGCAGCGGTAAACGCTCATCTTGATGCTTAAAGTCATGGTCGATTACAAGAGCTACCAGAATTTTCTTTGCCGACTTGTTTTCCGATCTTATAAATTCATTAAACTGAGCTTCTGTTTGGAAACCTACAACTGCAAATAAAAGAAAATGTCTGTCATCAATGAGCTGAACATTGCAGATGATGGAAACCTGTAACAAAACCACAAAATATTGGAAATACTCAGCAGTTTTGGCAGCAGCTGTGCAGAGAGAAACAAATTTAACGTTTATGGTTAACTAAGTTTTAATGAAATGTCAGCATATGAAACAGAGCTGTTTCTCTCACCACCGCCAAGTATTTTCAACTTTTCTGTTTTTATTTCTTTATTCATAATTCAAGTTATGTAGGGTTAACCTTTTGGTGGTTTGGGTTAGGTTGGGTGTCATACCCAGATGTTAATGAGTGTTGTAACCTGGGGCTTTTTAAAAATGTTTCAGAGATAGTAGGAACTGCAGATACTGGAGAATCTGAGATAACATGGTGTAAAGCTGGATGAACACAGCAGGCCAAGCAGCATCAGAGGAGCAGGAAGGCTGACGTTTCGGGCCTAGACCCTTCTTCAGAAAATTTTATAAAAATGTTATTTTATGGGTTGCAAGCAACACTGGCAAGGCCAGTGTTCATTGTCCATTTCCACCTGCTCTTGAGAAGGTGGTAGTGAGATGCTATCTTGAACTCAGTGCTAATGAGTGTCATGGATTAATACAGTGGCTTCATACTAATCAACAATCAAATGATCAATAATTCAAAACCCAAATAGCAAGTTGTAAAAGGATTCACAAATGGTCATGTCAGCACAAAACAAACTCCTTAAACCAGCTAAATGGACAACCTTTTACCTTTTACTCCTCAGCCATCTAATCCAAGAGAATAAAAACTGAATTGCATCCCTGATTTCTCCCAGGAAAATGACAGCGACTTAGAAGGCTGGAAACTTACTGTTAACAATCCTCCGCAGACTGTCTTTCACCAGCTTTGCAATGCTCTCCACTGCAGTCACGTTGGAGGGAATGTAAACCAAACTCCATTTGGTTGTAGGGTGTTGGGGGAAATATGGAATATCATAAATATAAAATGGAGGATATGTGGTTGCATTTGGATATTGCACAGAGTTAACTCGCTGTCTTAGAGTTATAAGAATTGCAGCAAATATAAGTGGCAGGCTTATCTCAACGATGGTGACCAATACTTGGCGCTTCTGCATTAAAACAAAAGTAAGATTTGTAAATCCAACAATTACAAAATTCTCTTTGCAGTACATTATTAGCATAGGTATATACATTAAACATTACCCACCATGAGGTGCATTAAAAGATCAAGATTCCCACAAGGTCAGGATGCAATCTCAGCTTTCCTGTCAGGTCTGGTAGGAGCTTATCCCAAACTGATGGGGGTCACTTCATGGATTCATATGTGGACAAATCAGTTTGTCTGACTCACAGCACTGCATCCAGACAGAATCTCAGCCAGTCTCTGTGACAGCTTCAACCTAGCTAGATTCGATTACAGCTACATATGTAAGTGGACAGGAGCAGTGCTGAGGGTTTAGCTATTAGAATGGAAGTTCAAGCATCCATACATTCACACAGATCCTTCTTTGTACCATTGGTTGTAATATTTTACTTACTTGCAACACGTAATTCTTCCAAAGAAGTAGGCCAAACTGCCGAAGTCGGGTCATCTTGAATTTAAGAGCAACCCCAAAATATGACAAGAATATGCTTCCTAACAGGGGGAAGGAGCACAATGGATGCAGCTAGTTCCAATTTTGCAGCTTTCAAAGCATTATCACAGACTGTTGCCAATGGAGATGTTGTGTGTCAGTTTGAATGAGATGTTTTGGATCCCCCATCAGGCCAGTCGCTACCCCTCTAAAAAGAAGAAAGAAAGCATTTATATAGCACACATCCCGAAAAAGTCAATAAATGTACTGTACTTTTGAAGTGTAGCCAATTTTATAATCAAGGTAACTTTTGAAATTCATGGACACTTTTACAGCTCATGTCAATAGTTGTGAACAGCATCATATAGCTGCAAATTCCAGGTAAGCAACAACGTTATTCAAGGCGTTTGGTGACTGATTGAATTATTACAGCTGTGAAAACCACTAGCTCTCCTAATTCCAGAATTTTGTGCCTACTGAAAATATTTGAGGTGAATGCACCGGAGGGTGTTGTTGATGATTACAAGCCACTTGCTGTTGGTCACAGCAATTTAAATGGCAGCATTGGTCATAGGATGAGCCCAGGGGTGGGGAGATTTTGAAACTGGTAAAATCCACATTTAGGCCATTGAGCTGTAGGCTCCCAAGGCAGAATATGAGGTGCTGCTCCTCCAGTTTGCGGGTGGCGTCATTGTGACACTGGAGGAGGCCCAGGATGGACATGTCACCCAGGGAGTGGGAGGGGGAGTTGAAATGGTTCGCGACCAGAAGGTGTTGTTGTTGGTCACGAACAGAGTGCAGGGTCTACAGCCCAATGGCCTAAATGTGGATTTTACCAGATTCAAAATTTCCCCAGCCCAGCCTCATCCCATGACCAACCCTCCCTCTCATCCCCGCCTCCTTGACCTGACACAGCCTGTCCATCCATCCTCTCCCACCTATCCACTCCTCCCCCCTCACTGACCAATCTCCACCACTCCCTATCTGCACTCACCTATCACCATCTCACCTACCTTCCCCAGCCCCACACCTCCTCTCTCTATTTATTTCTGAGCTCCCTTCCCCTTCCTCATTTCTGAAGAAGGGTCCCAACCCGAAACATCAACTTTCCTGCTCCTCTGATGCTGCCTGGCCTGCTGTGTTCCTCCAGCTCCACACTGTGTTATCACTGACTCCAGCATCTGCAGTTCTTACTATCTCACAGCAATTTGAATAATATGTCATCAAACTTGGTTTGCATCTCCTCTCCCAAATCCCACCCCAAAGGTACAATTCAAATTGTATCTAACCCTTGCTGTACCTGTCTTGGGAACAGTTATTGGATCAGCACGCAGGGAGTTTTCCTCCCTGTCTGATCCATGCTTTACTCGCCCTGGGAGTGTTTCTTGGGACACTGCAGAAAGAGCTTTACTCCTATTATAGATTACTCCTATTATATTGTGTTGTAATTGTCTAGAGTATTTGATGTGATCTTATACAAATGTTCAAAAATATAAATCTGAGCTCTTTCAAACCAATCCTTGCTGGAATAATTCTGATAATCTTAACAATGTTCTTGTACCAGCACCATGAGCACAGTAGTCTAATGAAACAGACAGATAGTGAGGAAGTGAGACAGAAACATCCAGAGACTGAGTCAGCGAAGTAAATTGAGAAGCAAACAGTAAGAAACACAGGTAAGTGACGAGACATTGAGATAGACAGAAAGAATGTGAGGAAAGCAGAAAGCATGAGAGGGAGACAAAGACAGTGAGAGACACATAACGAGAGAGAGAGAGGGAGGGAGAGAGAGAGAGAGGCAGAGAAATACATACCAAGAGAGAAACAAAGACAGATAGCAAGCGAGAAAACCAGAGAGACAGAGAGAGAGAGAGCGAGAGCGAGGGAAAGAGAGAGGCAGCCAGCACAAGCAATACAGACAGAAAACAAGATGGGTGACAAAACAAGAAAGAAAGGCAAACAGTGAAGAGGCAAGAGAGGCAACGAGAGAGAAGCAAATGTACAGCAAGAGAAAGCAAGGCAGAAAGCAAAAGAAGACAAAGCAAGAAAGATAGACAGTAATGAGAATGAGAGAGAGAAGCAGCAAGAGAGAGACAGACAGCAAGAACAAGGGTAGCAGAAAGCGACAGAGAGCAAAAGACAGCTACTAAGAAAAAGGTTGAGACAGCCAGTGAGAGAGAATAGCAGACTGAAAGAGACAAGCTAGTAGAGAGAGAAAAGGACAGAAAAACAGTCAGCAGGAGAAAGGCAGACAGCAAGATAGAGCTGAAAGAATAAATGACTAAGCGACAGATAAAGAGAAAGTAGAAAAGATAGAGATAGCGACATAAAAAGAAAGAGACAGGAAAATAAAGAAACAACCAAACTTCAGCAGAATCAAGAATGCCTCAGAATCTCTTCTTTCCACAAAATAGAAAGTTTTTGTATTAGAATTTTCTTTACATGTAAATACATAAATACATGCCAAGTTTGGTTGAAGTAATTAAAGTTCAGAGTCCACTTTTTAAAATAATATCTTACGAATTGAAATATATTAAGCAGTCAGTAAACAATCCACCAATATGTAAAAAATTCTCAACTCCCCTTTGACTCAATTAAAATGCAGATTCTGGATCCTCGATTAGATTGAAACTGAAAGAACTGTGGATGCTGGAAATCAGAAATAAAAACAGAAATTGCTGGAAAAGCTTGGAAGGTCTGGCAGCATCTGTGGAGAGAAATCAGACTTAACGTTTCAGATCCAGTGACCCTGTTCTGAGGAATAAGTCTGATTCTCTCCACAGCTGCAGACCGACCTGCTGAGCTTTTCCAGCAATTTCTGTTTTTGTCCTTGATTAGATTATTTGAAGGACCTTATCTGCAAATTCTGACATCCTCTGTCCAAGGTGGGAGCTGACTTGTTCAGTGTTTCCAGCGTTTTCATTTGTTTCTCATTTCTAGCACCTGGAGTGTTTTCCTTCTGGTTTAAAATGTGAACAATTCTACATGGTAGTGGGCTCAATAATCTTCAGTACAATTGCATGAACTAATTTTCACTTCATTTTCATTCCCATTCTCACCTTTATCTGGAAAATCTATTTAACATTCGGAAGTGGAGGGGTTCAGTTATAAGGAAAGGCTGGATAAGTTGAGACTTTTTTTTTAACTGGAACGTAGGAGGTTGAGAGGTTACCTTGTAGAGGTTTATAAAATCATGAGGGGTACAGATTAGGTGAATGGCAGGTGTCTTTTCCCTAGGGTGGGGGATTTCCAGACTTGGGGGCATATTTTTCAGGTGAGAGGAGAAAGATTTAAAAAAGACATGAGGAGCAATTCTTTTACACAGAGAGTGGTTCACGTGTGGAATGAACTTTCAGTCGAAGTGGTGGATATGGGTACAGTCACAATGTTTAAAAGACATTTAGATAAGTACATGAATAGGAAAGGCCTGGAGAGATATGGGCTAAATGCAGGCAGGTGGGACTAGTTTAGTTTTGGATTACATTCAGCATGAACTGGTTGGACTGAAAGTTCTGATTCTGTGACTCTATAACAATGCTTTCAATTCCCACCCCTTCTGTACCACTACCCCTGCCTCTCCCTCTCTTGTGTTCAGACTTCTACCAACACACACAACTATTTGGATTATATTTCTCCTGAGGAAGGATCACTAGACCTGAAATGTTAACTTTGATTTCTTTTCACAGATACTGTCAGACGTGCTGAGCTCTTCTAGCAACTTCTGTTTTTGTTCTATATTTCTCCTAACCCCAGTTTAGTTAAAAACTCCCTTTCCTTCTCTCAGTTTCTCTCTTTCATCAGTCTGACCATTTCATGTTCCACATCAGAGATTCTAAAGTATCATTAAAATTATCCGTACTCACCAAGAGGTACAGTGTGCGCTATGTGCCATATAATGGGGGATTGTTTGCTGCACTGTTTCCTCAAGCCTTCAAATTTTTAACTTCCGTCACTCTCACTTTGCTTGTTAATCAACACAATGATAGCAGTGTGACATCTGAGCCAAGGTGCTTTTGTTTGTGAAATGTATTATGTGAACGAATGTTCTAGAAGATGCCTGTGTTTCCCTTGGGGCAGGGTTATATCATTCTTATTGGAATTTAAATTTGGGATGGGCTGCTTTGTTAAAAATCAGCAAAGGCCTTTTACCCAACCCGACCCCAGGGGACCCTTTAATCAATTTGACCGCACAGAATTCCTTAACTAATTTGACTGTAGGGGACTCTTCAATAATGCTCATTACAGCAAACTTTTAGATGACCTGCGTATACAAAACTTGAATAAATATTTTAAAGACTGGCTTCCATCTGTCTACTAACACCCATGGGAGCAATTAAAGCAGTTTTCACTACCCTACAGGGAGAATATTCCCCTTGGAAAGGAAACAATGATGTTGATCAAAGTGGTGTTACCCTGGCAACGCCCAATTGTGCAGCACAGGCTGAGGATTCTGGTTTAACAAGTGCCAATGCGAAGCAGGTGTTAATCACTGGAACTTCTAGTTTACATGTGTTTTAAACGGCACTTGTGGTACAGTAGTAGTGTCCTTATCTCTGGGCAGGAGGCCTGGGTTCAAGTCCCACCTGCTCCAGAGGTGTGCGATAACATGTCTGAATAGGTCAATTAAAAAATATCTGCATGATTTTTAAGGGGAATCCTGTGGTGCAGTGGAAGTGTCCCTATCTCTGAACCAGGAAGTCCGGGTTCAAGTCCCTCTTGCTCCAGAGGTGTACATTGATATCGCTGAACAAGCTGATTAAAAATATGAATCAGAGATAGTAGGAACTGCAGATGCTGGAGAATCCGAGACAACAAGGTGCAGGGCTGGATGAACACAGCAGGCCAAGCAGCATCATAGGAGCAGAGAGGCTGACGTTTCGGGCCTAGACCCTTCATCAGAAAAGATTAAAAATATGTGTGTGTTTTTAAGCTGCAACTTGCAAAACCTGTGCAGTCAGTTCTAAAAATAAATTTCCTGCTATTGAAAAAAAAATCTATGTGCCACTTTAGGGTTCAGAAATCATCTACCATCTTCTAGTTACTATATCCCCACCTCAGACACAGGATAAACTCATCATCCGAACTGTCCCTGCAGGCAGGCGTTTCTCCAACAGTGAATGATAGAACAGCTGAACGGTTTTCTAGTCTTCATCACTTCCCTCACACACAAACACACACAATTTACATTTCAGAAAATAGACCATCCAG